ATGGCGAGAAGTTGGAGATGCTCCGATACATGTACCAGCTGAAAGGAGGCGGGCCGGAATTCCCCGACGCATACACCACCACCGTGCCGGCCAGATTCGCGTATAAATACGCCAGATCGCTGAAATAAGTAGCGCTGGGGTCTGCGCTGCCGAGGGAGAGGGAGATGACATCGACGCCGTCAGCGACAGCAGCGTTGACAGCTGCCTCCACGTCAGCAGACGTGGCAGTGGTTCCGGCTGACTTGGCGTTGCCCCAGAAGACCTTGTAGGCTGCGAGGAAGGCGCGGGGCGCCATGCCAGTTATGTTGCCGAGGTTTGTTTTTCGGGGGAACAGTATGATGGGCACATTGCTGTTGCCTGCTGCTGCTCTGCAGGTTTGAGGGACAGTGGAGGGAAGACAAGAAGAAGCAGAACGAGGGTGAGTGAGAGTGAGTTGGGCGCTGCGCCTCACTTAGTACGAGCCTTCGAGCTGATGAGTCTCAAGTACGCTGCACTAAGCAAAGCGCCAACTACTTACGCCGCACTAAGCAAAGCGATAATTACTTACACTGCACTAAGCAAAGCGACAAGTACTTACGCTGCACTAAGCAAAGCGATAATTACTTACACTGCACTAAGCAAAGCGACAAGTACTTACGCTGCACGAAGCAAAGCGACAGTCACTTGCGCTGCACACCAGGTGCCGTGCCCATCCGCATCACGAGGTGACATCCAATCACGAGGTGACATCCAATCAGTGCGTCCTGCCCGTATGCCACAGCACCGAAGTGAATTTTGAGTCGACTCAAAAGTCACCTCCCTTCCTGCCCGTATGCCACAGCACCGAATCTCACTTACTTTCAGAGAAAGGGTGAGGCAAGAGAGCACGGACTCACTTGCGCTGCACACCATGTGCCGTGCCGGTCGGTATCCCGAGGAGACACCCAGTCAGCCTGCATGTCTTGCTGCCTGCCTGTACCTCGCACCTCACCGAGTAGCCATAGTACCAATTAACCTTACTTACTTACGGAAAGGGTGGGGCAAGAGAGAACGTCAATCACTTACGCTGCACACCAGGTGCCGTGCCCGTCCGCATCACGAGGAGACGTCCAATCAGTGAGCGTGTCCTCCTGCCCGTACGCCGCCCGAAACCCACCGTTGAAATATCTTGCTCCAATCACCTTTCTGTTGCACTGGAAGTCAGCAGTGACCTGGCAGGTGCCTTTCCAGGTAGCCGGAGGGTCAGGATACAGCAAATCCACATCTGAAGAGAACGACGGGTGCTCGGGCCAAATACCCGTGTCGATTATTCCCACCACCACGCCTTCACCTGCCCGGTCGCGTCCCCGGGTAGACCAGAGAGTCTCAGGCAGCTTGAGAAAGTTTGCAGAGTTGGTTGTGAGCTTGCTGATTGGGTAGTTGGGTTTGATTTCGGCCACTGCTGGATGCCGCTTCAGCTGCTGCAGCTGCTTAGGTGTCAAACGCGCCACGAAGGCATTGCTGACGTGTCTCATTCTGGAGAAGAGGGGAGGAAGGGGCCAGGAAAAAGGGTGATGAAGAGAGGGCAGAGTGTGAAAAGACACGAAGGAACAAGTGGAGGAGGAATCTGGGTACACCCTAAGGGAAGCAATTAGAAAAAACATATAGGTTGTACGCATATATTGAGCTCGTTAATGGTTACAAACTCACGAGTACAGGACATTCGCACGCGGCAGTTTCACGTCATCCGCAACTCCGTCCTGCAGCCGGCCCAGCCACTTATTGAACCGCGCGACGGCTGGCGACCTCAGATTCAGTCGCGACGACTTGCGATTCGCTTGGCGACGAGTCTGGCGAATTCGGCCCACCACAGAATGTAGGACGTCGGATGCCGAATCTCTGACAGCCTTTGCTGCCGTGGCGGGAATACCGTTGATTCCGCCCGTGTATCCCGCGATTGGCGGGGCGGCGCGGAGGCGGACGATGTACACGTCAGACGTGGGGTAGGGGGTTGTTATCGGCAGAATCTTAGTCACGTTTTCCACTATCTTGAAGTTTGGAGCAGCAGACGATTCTCCTGGCATTTCAGGAGCGGCCCCAGGTGAAATTTCAGGTGTCCACTCAGGTGGCGTTTCAGGTGACGTTTCAGGCGGAGTTTCAGGCGGAGTTTCAGGTGAGATTCCAGGTGTGGGCGGCTGAGCGGCTACCGGGTACAGGGAGGTGCCCTCTTGCGATGGGAAGTCCAAGACGATCCCTGATTGGTCAGCTGCAAAAGAACGAAGCGCCAAATTAGCAGGAGCTTCCTAAAAACGGTAGGATGCAAGAGCGCGAAGCATATCTTTTATACCATGGCGCTGACCTTCTTGAGCGGAAAGGGGGCTGCATTTGGCGAGTACAAGCGACGCGAGCAGACAAACCACCATGGTCCGCAACCGGGGATTGGTGCGACATTGACGAGAATCCATCATCGGGCACGCCTCCCAGTAGGAGCTACTACGGCAGCTCGTGGTAGTGGCTGCAATGAGGAAACGCGAACTTGGGGTGGCTCGGACTTGTAACGCGAAACGACGGGCGCCTGGCCAAAGCGCGAATATGCGACGGTCGTCGGACTTCAAGCCTCTTCGAAGTGCTTTAGGGTTCGCTAAAGCCTCTTCTTCTGACATAAGCTACCTCTCAGTAGTAGGCACTACCTTGAAGGGAGGAAGACCTTCAAGTTCTTTCTCCTTTGATCGCGTTCGGGGCGTTCTTCCGAACAACGACAACACAGACTGCGTTCGTCTTCCTTCAGACTCTGCGAGTCGCCGGTGACGCATTAGTCAGGGTCATCAGAGCGGGAAAGCTCTGCGGCGATAGCTTCCCCTGGAAGCATATTGCCGGGGAACAGAGCATAATACAGTACTACCACCGTACTACAGTAGAACTGGTGTTTGCGATTGGTATGGTACATCGCAGCAGACGCTGCCAGCGTGCTCGGCTCGGCTCGGCATGGTATGGCATGGCACGACTACTCCGTCTTCTCCGACTACTCCGTCTACTCCGTCTACTCCGATTTCTCCGTCTACTCCGACTATTCCGTCTACTCCGACTACTCCGTCTACTTCGCCACGGAAATGGCGGGGGAGCTGCGCCTCCGATCCGACGACCAAGGGGTGGGGCTCCGTCTGCCAGCAGTGGTACAGCACTGTTCTGCTGCAAGTAAGGCCCCGAAACCATGGCTACCGCTGCGAATAAGCCCCTCTACTGGCGCAAAAGGTTCGGCCCTAACCAGTTTCAAAAGGAAGAGTCTCAGCAGTGCTCGTCCAGCGCCGCTAAGTCACACGCGTCGCATTAGTTGCCGATTCGCTGGATGACTGGAGCGCCAAGCGCCAAGCGCCAAGCAGCGCTGACGATTGAAGGGCAAATGCCCCTGAACCGTCTGGGCCCTCCCCCGCTTTTTCCCTAGGAACCCGTTCCTTCATGTTCCCCCCCCCAAACCTGGACATGCCCAAACCTGGACATGCCCAAACCTGGACGATAGTGCCTTTCCGGAAAAAAACTCCCGGAAAGATTCGATCTCGAACGTTGGAACGCCAAGTGTTGCGCCAATCAACAGCCCTAGGGTATGCCAATCGACAGCCGTGGCGCCAAGCGCGGAAAGCTGCTATGACAAGCAAGCTGCTGGGCCGTGTTTCCACCCAGAAGCGCCGCTAGTTGCAGCCTGCACTAGGTAGCAGCCAGCGCACGCTCGTGGAGGGTGGCAGCGCGAACTGAGGCGGTGCAGTGCGCCAGTGTGATACTAAAGGCGACGCGAAGTTGCGAACCTACTAGGTTCTCTAGAGTCTGTCCCCATAGGCCCCCGTCGACCCCCCCCTACTGGCGGGGGTTGGCACCACTGGCGGATCCTTATCCACTCGCCCACTGTGCACAGCGCACAGGCACAACCCCTTGCTCTGCTTGGGTGCTTGTTGGCGAGCGTGGTAGATGCGTGGCGAAACAAAATGAGGCTGCTAGTCAACGATCCCGATCGTTTCGCAAGGTATTTCGTCAACCAGCTTTCTGCAGTGATGAGTGGCTGACTAGGGAATTTATGATACACATGCCCAGCTTGTTATGAATGGGTCTGCCGAGTAGCGCGGAGGGCAATGGCGAAACTGTGAACGAGCGAATGACAATAAAATGAAAGACAATACAATATATAGAAAGCCTAGGGTGATCCTGGACGTAAGATCATAAGGTTCGGGAAAGTATCCAAGGGCCTCGATGTGTCGTAGCGAAGTCCGGAAAGGCCAAGGAGGCTCGAACTGAAAGGTTTGGAACCCTATCGATGGTTCGGGACTGTTCGAGTCGTAACCCTTGTAGCAAGCCTCAGTAAGGAATTACTCATTCCTTACACTCTCCCCCCTTCTAGATAAGCACACAAATAAATAAAACTACACACAGTCTAACTGAATCTCGTAGTAGTGAAGCCACCAATGTTGAGAATCTCGAGCTTCTTCAAGGAAACTCGATCCAACGGTCGAAACACGTCGAAACGATCGCGGTCGATCGTAACCGTCGAATCTTCGTCGAATTGCCCAGATAACCAAACGGGCAGTAGGGATACTACCGCACCACAGCTTCCCTGTCTCCAGCGAGTCTTCGCCATGAATTACAAACCCCGTCGTCGTGTAATGTATCCGCACAGTAGCACTACGATATTCACACTGCTGCAAGTTGGCGAGCCGAATCTTCTGCATAGCGCCAAACTTGTCCGTAGCTCAGTAACTGTAGATCGTTCCTCGTTTAATCCCACGTGAGTCGTGACACTCGCAGAAACACGCGTCCGTAATTCGCAAAATCACGAACTCCAGCCGTTAGTCAAGTGCGAGGTCATTCGCGACACATACGAGAACACGCGTCCGTGTCTCACGAAAGTCAACGAATTCCATCAGCACATGGATGAAACATAATCAGTTCAGTAACCGTAGTCGACATCGCCTAAGTCGGTTAAACTAAACACGTCTTCAACTATCGCGAACACCAGCGAAATTCCTGAAATGCCTACTCGAATCTTCCGTCGATTCAGTCGGTCAAACAGCATCTGTCCGTCGATGCTCCTGCAGCGGATGTCAAACTTGTCGATGGTAAATCCAAAAAACAACTGCTGCGCAGCTGCTCTCTCCCCCCTCTATGAAAAGAAAAACTCTGCCGTCGATGCCGAAAATTCCCCGCTTCAAGTTTCTTCAGACCCAGAACATTTGAAGTATCTTCAAATTCTGCTCGTCGGGACCAGTCTCAGCGCGACCCTATAACGCAGGGTAGCTGCGCCACGTAGACTCCAGCTCCATCCGACGCCGTAGATAAATATTCAGCTTCTCAACTGCCGTCGATCTGCTTCTTGTTGTTACCCTCTGTAGAATTTTTCTCAACTCCACGTGACCAGTTCGCCGTGCAGACGTTCACCCATCGCGCGGCTACGGCAGGTACCCCAGAAAAACTCTGGTACAGTTCTCAGCTCCGAAAAACGCATTCTCTGCAGTTTCACCGACTAACCATGCTGGTATTTAAACCATCGCACAGCTCGGTAGGTACCCGTGACCCCAGCTACCACTCCAGCCGAAAACTTGAAGAATTCCCACCCTGAAAAAAATCCGACGTTTTAGCGATGCGCCGACGTTCACCCATCCTTGCGCCCGTCCAGGTAAATCCCCAAATGAGTCCTCGCAGCCAAGTCTTCGATTATAGCCCCGCAACTCAGGATAACCCGTGAAGACTCCCGCGTGACTCCAAATTTTCCGTGACGGCAACACGCTTTTCCCACTGCAACAGTAACCCTTGTCGTCATGAAGCTCCATTTGATGACTACACTCCAGAGCAGGGGTGAATCCTCCGTGTGCCCGTACTCAGGTAAGCGCAAACGCTATCGTAGTTGGGCGAATTAATCAGTCTAATTCGCGGGCAGCCGCTTTGCAGCTTACGTGAGGGATTCTCTTTCCCCTCCCTGAAAAATTCCGTCTCTGCAAAAATCTGCTCCAACTGCTACAAATTTCTTCAACTGCTGCTTCCAGAGTAAAACCCCCGCAGGCCGCTGTTCACCCAGTGCCCACGTTCGTCGTTCTCCAAACAGTACCGCATACGTTCTTTCGAAAAACTCGCAGCTCCGTCGTTCTCGGCGACACATCGTCGCCGTTCGTATCGGACTCGAGCTCCGCATACCGTCCGATCTCCGTCGCAAAAACCCATCGCTTTTTTCGTTAACTTGTTTCTCGCGCCTCCCACTGAAGAGCGTACGATTTTCACAAATCGTTCGCCTGTCGTGTAGCGCCGAAAATGTTTCGATCCACCAGCGCAGGGTGATCCGCTGGCTCACCACCCTTATTCGGCCAGAACCGTCGGAGTAGTCTTAAACCCGAACTGGTACCTGGTGGTGGTGCTGAAGATCGGGCGACCAAGCCTAGTCAGTCGGGGGACCCGTCTGCCGCTGACTCTTAATTTTTTCCCGGCTGTTACCCAGTCGTTCTCCTTCTCTGCTACAACTCTCCGTCGTTGACTTTTAACGGTGACCCGTCGATGACACTTAAACTCGACCCGAGGGTAGTTTCTGGTGTAATTTCTGTCCACGAAAATGGCTTCCTCTGCGGGAATCTAGACTCGCCGAGCTCGAAACTCCAGGGCAGACGAATTACACCTCCAGGTGGGCAGGTCACGCGAATAAATTTCGAGGTCAGTACAGAACTCCCCGAAACTTTTCCGTGCCTGAGCCCCACGTGAGCTGTTGTGCGATCCTTGGTCGTGCCGAAAACTCCAACGCCGCATTTGCTGAACAGTATCCGAAGTCCCGTCTTCACATGCGTGTCGCCTGCCGGAAACGCCGAGCCTCGTAACGTCAGCTACACATCACCATGCAGCCACATCTGCTATACGCGCTCCTGACGAAATCCATTTTGCCTGGGGATATCCGCGAGCTTGTCGTCTCGTGACGAGCTCCTCGCTCCATTCGGACACCAATCCGAATCGTCGTTGTTACTCGCCGAAATTTCCGAAACTGCAACCGAACGCCCCTTTAACGATATGCGAAATAAACAACATACCGGAAACACTTTTCAAAATCTTCGTCATGTCATGACGGACACAACCGCCCTCGGGGGGATGGCTCTTCCCTCCCAAACAAAAAATCGTTATGCTCTCGGAAGCCCAGGGGGTGAGAAAAGTGGCTCTGAATACCAAGTGTTATGAATGGGACTACCGAGTAGCGCGGAGGGCAATGGCGAAACTGTGAACGAGTGGATGACAATAAAATGAACGACAATACAATATATAGAAAGCCTAGGGTGATCCTGGACGTAGGATCAGAAGGTTCGAGAAAGGTATCGAAGGGCCTCGATGTGTCGTGGCGAGGTCCGGAAAGGCCCAGGAGGCTTGAACTGAAAGGTCTGGAACCCTATCGATGGTTCGGGACTGTTCGAGTCGTACGCCTTATAGCAAGCCTCAGTAAGGAATTACTCATTCCTTACAGAGTGAATGACAATAAAATGAAAGAACACACAATATATAGAAAGCCTAGGGTGATCTTGGACGTAGGATCGGAAGGTTCGAGAAAGGTATCGAAGGGTCTCGATGTGTCGTAACAAGATCCGGAAAGGCCTAGGAGGCTCGAACTGAAAGGTCTGGAACCCTTGCAATGGTTCGGGACTGTTCGAGTCGTACGCCGTATAGCAAGCCTCAGTTTCCTTACACAGCTCAACTTCACCCCCGCTGTACACATCTGTTTGGGAAAGACAGGGGATGCAAGCAACCCAGCGCACGCGAACCAACAGGATCCATACTTTACAAGAGTACAGCAGTACACCCGTGAATGTCACCCAGCTAGATCCATACTTTACAAGAGTACAGCAGTACACCCGTGAATGTCACCCAGCTAGTGTATAGAAGTCCTTGCATAGCTGCATACGTGATAACCAAACAATCATTTCCCAATCTTGAGTTTTAAATCTCAGTAGCATTTATTAATTAATTTTAAATCCATATGAATAATGATCCTGGGTCCGGTGGTTTTATATCCAATAGAACACTGATAGGCATTCAAAATATAAAATACTACCACTTTTATATCGTAATACCTCGTCTCATACTTCCCAATGCATATTGTGTTTTTTATGCATAATTACGATTTGAATACAAAAAATGTATCTTATAACCAGACGATTTCGCCAAGTTCGCAGCTAAAATGTCAACCACATTGCGCAGCGCTCCATCGCATTGCAACGCACGATGAGGAACCATGCTGGACTATGAGAGTGAAATCGGAGCTGTGTGACGATGGAGCCGTCGATTGGCCAACTCGTGGAGCCTTGCTGAGGTCTGGTTTTTCCAGGGAGTAGGTCTATCGTACATGGATAATGGAACGGACCTCATGCCTTTTCCACACCGAGTTTCAGACCCGAGGTCGACCCGCGGCTGAAGGAGCCGCGGGCTGTCACAACTTAACAGCGGGTTTAATCTTCTTGACGGTGCAGCGGCTGCATAGTCACGAACTGTCGCAAGGGGAGGGTTGCGACTATACTGGCCGAACTTTTCGAGTCCACCAGAAATTTACGATGTTATTATTGGTGGAAGTTCATTTGCGCGACTTTGTTAGTTGTTCGATTTGACAGCTGACTGGCTGAAGCTGTCAGTTTTTCGCAAGATCCGAGGCAATCTTTTTCCAGCCTCGGATCTTCTCGCTAAACCCTCGGGTCTAACAGTCACTGCGGAATCCTCCCTCACACACACACCCCACAGTCAGAGGTGCCGTCTAGATCTTGACTCTGCACTGCATGGCACAAAGGAGTCCACGTTTCGCTGACGGCGGGCGCCTGACTGACCATGTGGACGTTCTTCTGTAGGTTCCAGCGAGGTGCGATGGGATGTGGGGACATTGGTCCGCTACTCGCATACCACGCCCGGCGCGCGCCACGAGCGGAGGAGGTCTGGTTCGGGGGGGGTGGGGCTTTGGGTGGAGAGAACTGTATTGTTGTACTGTATGCGTCAGCTCAGCACATTCGCTTGTCCATTGTGCCTAAAACAGTGGCGTTCACCAGGTGACTGGCTTCTCTGTCCTTGGCGAAAACTTCCAAGGCTACTCCAGCAGTCCCACCGCGTTGTTTTACCCTCCAGCAGTCTCACCGAGACGTCTCACTACTCGAATATTATCACGCGGCTACCTAGGCTACTGGCAGAGTAGTGCTCTAACAGTCACTACACCGCGCTGCGTTGCTCTCCGGACTAGACACTGACATTGGAAAGTCAGATTTCAGGTTGAAACCCTCGGAGCTTCCGCTCTAGGGCGAAACGACATTTCGTGATCTGACATTTGACGAAATCTGACCAACGTTGGATAGCATCTGAAAACGTCCGACAAATTTTCACTGACATCAGACAACATCTGACGGGATTTCACTGACATCTGATAACATCTGGCACCTGACTAGCCTTTGACAACAGGTGACAGCATCACATAATCTGACGACATCTGACTCTTTTGTTTAGTTAACATTGTTGTACAAAATGTGAGTGTGCAAACTCATACATTAGACCTAGTCTTATCATGTTTTGAGGAATTTCCAAAGCGCGGGTGCATAGTCTCTACCTCTCCTTTGGCGATGACGACGCAACTTTCGTCGTGTGCAAGAACCGTCAGTTTGGGAGCCGCCAGGAGGAGCCCTCTCGGTTTTGCTCGGTTCAAAAAGTTGAGACAGAGCACGAGTGCGACGCAGAGTACGGGTGCACGGAGACAGCATGTGACTTCGGAGACGTCTCAGAAAACGGGGCCACGGATTCAGCGTATGACGGAGGCATGGAGACAGCATGTGACTCCTGAGACGCCTCAAAAGGCGAGGCCATGGCGGCAGCATGTGGTCACATTGTGCCTCGTGCTCGTCCTCGCCATCTCGGTGAGTCCTGCTCCTTGGGTGCGACAATTGAGGCGGCTCTTGTGTTGATTTACAGGCAACCCTTCCCAGTTGACTCAGAAAGGTCGTTTTGTGCCTCGTGCTCGTCCTCGCCATCTCGGTGAGACCTGTTCTGTTCCTTTGGGTGTGACTTTGCAGTAGTTTGACAAAGAAATCCTCCTCTCACCCACTCATCCCTCCCCTCACCCACTCATCCTCCCCTCACCCACTCATCCTCCACTCACCCACTCATCCTCCCCTCACCCACTCATCCTCCTCTCACCCACTCGTCCTCCTCTCACCCACTCATCCTCCTCTCACCCACTCATCCTCCTCTCACCCACTCATCCTCCTCTCACCCTCTCATCCTCCTCTCACCCACTCATCTGTGAACCCCTCACCAACCTTTCCTTTCAACCCCATCCCCTTCTGCCCTTGCCCCTTGCACCAACTCCCGTCCCCGCCACTCGTGTGTGTCTGCCTCCCCTCTCTCCCCGTTTCCAGATGTCTCCTTCTCTGGCTCGCTCTGTAGCTTCTGGGCGCCTCACTATCCCCCTCTCTCCTCCCTCACCCCGTCCCCTCTTCCCCCCTGGCACCAGCTCCCGGGTCCCGTCCCCGCTGCCTGCGTCCGCCTCCCCTCTCGCCCCGTTTCTGGATGTCTCTTTCTCGGACTCTCTCCGTGGCTCCTGGGCGTCTGATTACTCCGCTATGCACTCCCGCATCCGCCAGGCAGCCTGCTCTCACGCCCACACATACCTGTCCAGAGAACTAGTTCCTCTCTTCATCACTTCTCTTTCTCCCCTCCTTTCTGTTTCCGTGTTCCCCATCCCGTCCCCCCTTTTTCCCCTGGCACCAGCTCCCTTCCCCGCTCCTTGCATCCGCCTCCCCTCTCGCCCCGTATCTCGACGTCTCCTTCTCTGACGCCCTCTGTGGCTCCTGGGCGTCTGACTACTCCGCCCTGCACTCCCGCATCCGCCAGGCTGCCCGCGCTAACGCCCCCATCCTCACACAAACTGCTGCTGCTGCCGCTAATGCTGCTGCTGCTGCAGAAGCTGCAGCCACCGCAGCGGCTGCAGCCGCAGCACCACAACCACCACCGCCGCCGCCGCTGCCGCCACCACCCCCACCACCATCACCACCACCACCGCCGCCACCGCAACCGCCATCACCACCACCACCATCACCCCCCCCACCACCACCACCCCCACCGCCGCCAAACCCTCCGTTCTCCCCCCCTCCTCCCCCCCCCCCGCCTCCTCCATTCCCCCCTCCTCCATCCCCCCCTCCGCCCTCTCCCCCTCCTCCCTCCCCTCCCCCTCCCTCTCCCCCACCCCCATCCCCCCCTCCCCCGTCCCCTCCTCCCCCAATCTCCTACCCCCAGCCCCCCCTTGACCCCTCTATACGCTTCCTCACCTACGAGTGGTTAGACGAACCAGGGGGCCTAGGGGACTATCTCACCGGTCTCGCCACCACGTTTGCCTGCGCGCTTCTCACGCGCCGAGCCTTCATTGTCCGACACCCGTTCCTGCCGCTCGCATTCGCGCCGAACCTCGTCGATTGGTCCTTCTCTCCGGACGTACCCGTGGAGCCGGCTCGGAGGATCCCAGTGAGGAAAGGAGTGCTGGAAGGGGGGTGGGGAGGAGGGGGAGGTGAGGGGAGGAGCGTGGGGGAGGAGGGGAGCACAAGAAGGGAGGTGGTGCAGGAAGGGGAGGTGGTGGTGGTGGATCTGAGAAACCAGTTTGTGGAGCCGGAAGACTTCTTTGGGCTCTTAGATAAGGCGATGAACGTGAGAGTGACATGGAACAGAGGCCTTCTCACGTACTGGCTCGCACAGGTGGGTCTTGGGGCACCTCAATACACGAGGGGAGGTGGTGCAGGAAGGGGAGGTGGTGGTGGTGGATCTGAGAAACCAGTTTGTGGAGCTGGAGGACTTCTTTGGGCTGCTGGACAAGGCGATGAACGTGCGGGTCTCGTGGAACCGAGGTCTGCTCACGTACTGGCTCGCGCAGGTGAGTGTTGAGGCGTCTGTAAAGAAGATCTTCGGGCTGCTGGACAAGGCGATGAACGTGCGGGTCTCGTGGAACCGAGAACTGCTCACGTACTGGCTCGCACAGGTGTCTAGTTTTTAGGCGCCTCAAAAATAGACTTTACCGGCGAGCATTGAGGCGTCTGTGGAGAAGCTCTGTGGCCTGCTAGATGTGGCAATGAATGAGCATGTGGGTGTCGTAGAACAGATGCCTGCTCACCTACTGGCTCGTGCACGTGAGGTACTCTGAGTTCAGTTCTTTCGTTCTTGGTGTTGCCGCGCACTTTCAGAAGTAGAGCCCTGCTCACGTTTTGGCTCGTGCAGGTGAGGTACTCTTGTTTCCACATGCTTTCAGAAGTAGAGCCCTGCTCACGTACTGGGGGGAACACGTGAAGTACTGTTGTTACCCTTTGTTTACCCTCTCTCCATGTTTCTCTTTCTTTCTTTCTTTCTTTCTTTCTGTCTTTCCTTCCTGCTTAGAAACAACCTGAAAGCTCACAGCCTAGAAGGGCATGTGCATGAATCTCATGAGCATGAATCGCACATGTGCATGAATCGCACATGTGCCTGAATCGCACATGTGCATGAGTCGCACATGTGCATGAGTCGCACATGTGCATGAATCGCACATGTGCATGAGTCGCACATGTGCATGAATCGCACATGTGCGTGCCTGAATCACACATGCGCCTGAATCGCACATGTGCCCTGAATCGCACATGTGCAAGAATCGCACATGTGCATGAATCGCACATGTGCCTGAATCGCACATGTGCCTGAATCGCACATGTGCATGAGTCGCACATGTGCATGAATCGCACATGTGCATGAATCGCACATGTGCGTGCCTGAATCGCACATGTGCCTGAATCGCACATGTGCCTGAATCGCACATGTGCATGAATCGCTCGCACATGTGCCTGAATCGCACATGTGCCTGAATCGCACATGTGCATGAGTCGCACATGTGCATGAATCGCACATGTGCATGAATCGCACATGTGCGTGCCTGAATCGCACGCGTGCGTGAATCGCACATGTGCATGAATCGCACATGTGCGTGAATCGCACATGTGCATGAATCGCACATGTGCGTGCCTGAATCGCACATGTGCCTGAATCGCACATGTGCATGAATCGCACATGTGCCAGAATCGCACATGTGCCTGAATCGCACATGTGCCAGAATCGCACATGTGCCTGAATCGCACATGTGCCAGAATCGCACATGTGCCTGAATCGCACATGTGCATGAATCGCACATGTGCATGAATCGCACGTGTGCATGAATCGCACATGTGCCGTAGACGGCCCTGGCATCAACCTGAATGCCCTCCTTCTCGTCGATGTGCGCCTCATCTCACTGTGTCGGCTGCAGGCTGTTGGGAAGAAATGGAGTGAGCACCTAAAGGGCATGGGCATGCGACCACCCTACGCCTTTGGCTGCATCCTCCGCTTCCTTCTCACGTACGTTCCTTTCAGCATAACGTGGGCTCAAAGCGTTTTGATATGTTGCCGTGGTACAATAGATGTGTTTTGATGAGATGTCTCAAAACATCTCCCTTCCCTACGCCTTCCGCTGCATCCTCCGCGTACTTCTCAAGTACGTTCTCATCGGCATAACCTGCTGCTGCCTTTGAGGATTCTCAAAAACAGAACACTTCTCAACTCAAGCACGTTCTGGTCAGCATAACTTGCTGCTGCCCCTCCTTCCCCCCTCCCTCCCCCCCCCAGCCACAACCCGAGGTGATTTCAGAAGTCCAAGCCATGTACCAGCGCTTGTTCTCGCCTCGCTCCTCCTTCCCCCTTCCTCCCTCCCACGAACTCATTCCCCTCCCCTGCCCCAACCCATACCCCCCAGGCCGCAACCCAAGGTAACTTCACAGCTCCAAGCCATGTACCAGCGCTTGTTCTCGCCTCGCTCCTCCTCCCATGGGGGTGTGGAAAGCCCATTGCTCTGAACGACACTGAGAACCAATTTTCCTCTCCCCTGTCCCCTGCCCCAAACCACCCGTCAGGCCGCAACCCGAGGTTGTCCCAAAGCTCCAAGCCATGCACCAGCGCTTGTTCTCGCCTCGTTCATCCTCCCGTGGGGATTCGAAAAGCCCATTGCTCTGACCGACCCTGAGAACCGTCTCTCCCTCCCTCTCTCCCTCCCTCCCTCCCACCCTCTCTCCCTCCATTTTTCTCCCCTCCGCACCCTGCCTCAACACCCCCCCTTCAGGCAGCAACCCGAGGTCATCTCAAAGGTCGAAGCCATCACCGGTTGTTCTCGCCTCGCTCCTCCACCTCCCCTCCTTCCCCATTTCCACTGGGCAGTCCCATGTTCTCCTACGGGCTCTCAAGCGCCCCCCATGGCTTGTCGAGCCATGGTAGGGTGGCGGCGATGGGGATCCACATTAGAGCCAACGACACGTTTGTGTGGCAGGGGCGGTGGGGGTTTGGAGAGCCCAAGGTGCTGAACCAGACTGAACACGATTCTTCCCCTCCCTAACTTACTCCCATCTCCGTCCTTGCCCCTCCCTACAACCCACTTCCCCCCCAAACCCCCCACCCCTCTCTTCCCCGTCAGGCCGCAACCCGAGGTCATTTCAAAGGTCGAGGACATGTACCACCGCTTGTTCTCGCCTTTCTCCTCCTTCCCTCCGTCCCCATTTCCCCTGGGGGGTCCCATGTTTTCCTACGGGCTCTCAAGCGCCCCCCACGGCTCCTCGAGCCATGGTAGGGTGGCGGCGATGGGGATCCACATTAGAGCCAACGACACGTTTGTGTGGCAGGGGCGGTGGGGGTTTGGAGAGCCCAAGGTGCTGAACGACACTGAGAGGAGCATGCTCATGGCGTGGGCTGAAGACTACCTCGCATGTGCAGAGGTGGGTGCAGGGCTCGGGGCTCAGGCTTTCCTGTCGAGAAATTAGGTTTGAATGCATGCTCTGAGATGGGAGCGGAAGGTGCAAGTGACACAGCATGCGTGCACAGACGTGGGGGTTTGGAGAGCCCAAGGTGCTGAACGACACTGAGAGGAGCATTCTCATGGCGTGGGCTGAAGACTACCTTGCATGTGCCGAGGTGGGTGCTGGGATGGGATCAGGGTTGGGGGTTTAACTGTGGAAATGTTGTCTGTGAAATACGTATACTTGCATGTGCTGAGGTGGGTGCGGGGATTAATCTAAAGCCAGAGTATGCATTTAGGTTGAGAATGTCAAATTCTAAAGATTTGAAAATCAGCAACCCCATAGACCTGCCAGGCTTCTCTCGCTCTCGCCAGGGCTCCTGTGATTTTCGACAAACAACGGGACGTAGATTGTAGACTGATTGTTTCGTCCCCTCGATTTCGAATCCCCCCTCCCTCGTTTTCGATCCCCCCAGCCCCCAATTCTTCAACCATCCTGCTCCCGAGTTCTCCTTCCTCTCACCCCCGCAGTCCAAATTCTTCCCTGCTCCCCACATTCGATTTCCCCCTGCCCACCAATTTCGATTCCCCCAGCCCCCCAATTTCGACTCTCCCTCCCGTCAATTTCGACTCCCACCCTCGCCAAAAATGACGAAGGCTAAATAGCCTCACTAAAACTACACATTTTGCCAGTCAGCATTTGGGAAATGCCAACCTAAATGTAGATGCTGCCTTTAAAGCGCGGATCTAGAAACCCCCCAACTCAAAAACTTAGGTTTTGAGTCAGGGGGCATTTTGGCTGGGGCTCAAAACTTAGGTTTTGACTTCAGGGGGTTTCAAAATCCTCGATTTAAAGCCCGAGTCTAGAATGACACGCTATCAATTTCAGGATTCCTGAACTTGTTTTCGTCCAGTAGAGGTAACCTAGTTTAGGGGACCATCAAGTTCGCAACCCTCGGGGAAATGGGGTTGTTTGCGAAAACTGCTAGAAACGACAAACCAGGAACGCACTCTTCACTCATACTGAACATGAAAACGCCCGCAACCATTCTGAACGCACTTTTTTGAGAGACTCGAGACTAGAGACCATCCAGTACTGTTTGTCACTGTTTGCGCACTGTTTTTCGCCAGAGGTGCTTTGCCGGAATTTTCTTCGCTGGAATTTTTTGGCACTGTTTTCATGGTTAGGAAAGTTGGTTTTTTACCATTCTAGACTCGGGCTTTTATTGTGTGGAAATGTTGGCTGTAAAATTAGGTATACCTGCATGCACTGAGGTGGGTGCGGGGATTCGGGTTTGGGGTTTCATGGTAAAACAAGGGTGTGAATTAGACATGATTGCATGTGCTGAGGTGGGTGCAGGGACAGGGGTTTGAGTATTTAAGGTAAAAAAAGGTGCAGAGACTGGGCTCTGGGGTTTCAAGTGAAAAGAGGGGCTGTAATTTAGACATGATGGCATTGCATGTGCCTCTTGACCTGCCTCTCCCCATCCCCTTCCCCCCCGTACCTCTGTTTTCCCGTGCCTCATTTTCCCTTGCCTCATTTTCCTGTGCCTCATTTTCCGTGCCTAATTTCTCTCGTGCCTCGTTGTCACCATAGAAACTGGAGGCATGGTGGATGCCCCCTCCGACCACGGTTCGCTGGCTCGTCATCAGCAACTCTCAGGATCTCAAGACAGCTCTCAGGCTCAAATATCCTCACAAGGCACGTGTGGAAATGTTGGCTGCTCATTAGTCACTTGCTTAATTGACAGGTTGTGCTCTCGTGCATTATCCTCCTGCAACATGCTTTTGTATCTGACCCCGCAACACACCCACTTCCTATTGTCTCGGGATTGTCATTCCCACAAATGTTGCAGGTGGTTGTCTCGGACATTGTCCCACTACATGCCAACACGCTAACATCCTTCCCAAATCCGCCAACCGCTGATAATGATCCTGCATTGTCCACTGCTGCAGCACAGGCTACTCACGATAGAGGAGCTTCTGCATACATAAATATTGTCGCAGAATGGCTCCTTCTAGCATCTACTGATGCTCTGGTTTTGTCGAAGTCTGGATTTTCTAATACTGCAGCGTTCTTCTCATATCGCCTAACTGCTGTTCATGTCCCAAGTCAATGCAACCCTGAGGCCCCTGTGGAAACGCGTAGTTTAGGACGAATTTGGAGCGGAGTCTGATGCCCCATAACCTACTGCACCTTGTGGATTTGGATTGTGTTGTTGCGCATCCTTTTACCCATACCAAGGCTACTCTTGCTTTTGCTCACTGTTCGTCATTCCAGCGTTGGTGGCAAAATAGGCTCTTTTGGAGCTTTAAAATGCTTTGTTAGGTAGTTAACAAGTTTGAATCTTGAAGGTTCCTCACCTAGCATGCGCTGTACTATGTATCGGAACCAGGGCCTAGGATTCATTTTAGGGTACGCTGATTCGTCAGCCTCCCCCCTCCAATTTAGGCTGATGATTCAGCCTCTCCCCAGGAAAAAAGGCTGAAAATTCAGCGTTACCACCAAAATATTCGCTGATCAATCAGCGTTACTTCAGAAAAGAATGCTGATGCACACTTTGAATGGTGCTTTGAAAACCAACGTGGCTTTCAGTAACGAGGTTAAGTCTCCGTTGCTGCGGCTGACATGCCAGTGATTGGTTTGGGCTAGAACATTTTTCCGGTCAAGGTAAAAATCACCTTCATGTAAGTGCTGAACTGATGTAGCCAGGGGAATCGGAAACAATCCGAGTCACGTAAGGTATGGCCGATGGTTTTGGAAGGCACCTGAAATTTTTGCGAAATTTCTATGTTTTCCTTTTAATCGTAAATGTGGCGCCCGCCCCGCGCGAAGTCAAACTTCGAGTTACGCTATGAGTTGTGAGATGGCGCCACGTATCTCGCTGGGGCGGAATTTGCCGTGTCTGTCGAAGGATTGTGTGCGACTGTGAGTTGTGGCGAGTGGTTTCGCAGGACTTAGCCTAAATTTCCTGAGTTGCTTGTGGGTGTTATGATGGGTGTGGCAGGTTTTGGAGGACTGAGCCAAATTGTCATGGGTTGCGGGTGTTATACTGTAGGAGGGGTGTGACTGGTTGCGGAGGACTTCACCATATTTGCGGATTGCGGGGCAGTCAGGGAGTTGGAGAGGGCAGGTGGGGGAGTAGCGGGGCAAATGACGCTGTACTCGGTTTCAGTGTCTCCCACCGAAAGTTACGCTGATGCTTCAGCCTACACCCAAAAAGAAAGACTGAAAAAACAGACAACACACGAATAGAAAGGCTGATTTTTCAGCGTACACTCCTGAAAAAAGGCTGCATGTTCAGTCTTGGTACCATCAAAATGTCTGAAAAAAGGCTGAATCAGCATAAAAAGGCTGATATCTAGGGCCCTGATCGGAACATTCCATAAATACATAATAATGTTTTTGGCCGCGAACCATCCCTGCAACCGAGGCATGGAACATCATTCTGTCTGTACTGTCTGAAGTCAGGGTCACAGCCATGCTGAGCCTGACTGGAAATGATCCACGTCCAGGTCAGAGAAAATCCATATGTGGGGGTTGTCCAACCAAACCGCAACAGCCGCTGTAATTCCACGCGTGTAAGCACCAAACCGTGCGACTGCTTCGTCACACCCGCGCTGGCATTTGCAAAACAGATTATCATTTCAAGCGTGCCACGCAAGATTCTTAGTTGTGTGACTCTTTTTTTTGCAGAGCTGGTCTCTTCTGCTCGTGTCACTGAATCGCGGGGCCCTTGAAAGCTGTGCATTTGATCACATACAGCGCACCGCCGACCAGTCACCAGCCATCTCCAAGAATGATGCATCTGAACGAGGCAGCGAATCGCGCGTGTTCTAATTGGCTGCACGCAAATCAGGAGGGCATATGCTTGGTCATCCATCTCCCTCACCTCCTTCCCTTCTGCTCCCCTCCCCCCACCCTCTCTTCTCTTCTCATCTCTCCCCCCTCCCCCACATTACCGTCCTCCTCTCCTCTCTTCCATGACATACCTCCCCCCTTGCTCCAGCGCAGACTCCCCCACTGCTCTAGCTCAGACTCCCCCCAGCAACCCTCCCAGCCAGAACACTTCCCTCAGAATTCCCTCAGTATTCTCCACTCGGGACTGCTACTAACGAGCGTGGTCCCCACTTTATTTATATACATTTCCCCCCCCTCATTTGTTTCATCCAACACCAACAGCCAAGTGCTTCTCGATTTCCTTCAGTCGCTCCTGCTGCTACTTTCAGCCAGGAGTTGCATTCCGCGGGTCAAGCTGAAACCATTTCAGCTTCTGCAAACTCGCATTGCTCTGCTCGCGTCAGAACAGCCTTGGGCTCTGTTCGTGCCGAGCAAGGAGCTCTGAGTCCCCGCTGGGCCTTGTGCTAGCCTCGTCGTAACGTAATCGCGTGACGACCTCTTTGTGGTCAGTTCAGATCCTAACACCATGTTGACAATCTTCCACAAGGGTGTGGCTCCTAGCCAACCCGCTCTCGACTGTGCTCTCGCTGACGCGGCGGATCCGAGTAAAGTTCACTCTGGGAGTGAGGCTCTCGGGGAGTTTCTAAAGAGCCATCCGTCAGCTACAGTGCTGCATTTCGACGACAACCTCGAGATTGCCTTCACAGGAGACGGTGGCAGGTAAGAATTTCAGCATTACAACCCTCCTAAACCAACTTGGTATGGAGTCATTACGTGCATTTGGGCGAGCTCCAAGTCATCGTTCGTGCTTGCGTTCGCTATGGTTTTCAGTTTCTAATTCCGCTTTCCCCCCTGTTTTCCTGCCTCCAGACAATTTGCTTCTTGCGACGACAACTTTTGCACCTTCATCGGCAATCTCGAGAACCTCGCGCAAATGCGGGTAGCGTACGGCCTCACCCGGTACCGAATCTCCGAGGCTGCATTCGTGATCGAAGTGTACAAAACCCTCCGGGACCGAGCTCCGTGCACCGTTGAACATGCCCTCTCGGAGTTCCGGGGTCCTTTTTCGTTTGTCCTGTACGACCAGAAGCAGAAGAAGGTGTTTGTCGCTCAGGACGCGTATGGGAAGCGGCCTTTGTATTGGGGTCTCTGCGAGGACTCGGTTCTGGCGATTTCGGACTAAGTTTGTTAGTTTGCTGCTGCATAGGGGATGCTAGACCTCACGTTCGTATTTCCCCATTTCGTTTCAATCGCCTTCCGTTCTGCGCTAATCATGTCGCTAACCATACTTCGTTTGCCTCTTTCCCTCTTCACCTCTTATCCCTCTCTTCCCGCATGCAGGTTGCTATTTCTCCACGGCAGCCGGGCTGAACAGCTACGAGCACCCCGACCGCATGCTCAAGGCCGTGCTGCACATCGACAGCCAGGGCCAGCTGTGCGGCTCCAACTTCGTGGTGGATCAGAAGATGCGCTACAGACAAATGTCGCAAGTGGGCAGCGAGTGCGATCTGACTGCCATCTAATCCAGGCTTTAATCCGGGCTCTAATCGGGGATTCAATCCAGGCTGGAGTGCTGCTGGTGCTGGAATGCTGCTGGTGCTGGATCTATATATGCTACACCAATTATTGGTTAGAAAGGGCCATCCCGTTCGGGGATGAGGTTTGAGGGTGTTCTGACTCATCTGGTGTGTGATTTTAAGGGAGCATTGCTTCCCCCAGCAGCACACCTTGTAATTCTAGAGTGTGTGTGTGGAAAGTGTGTTTGGTTATTCAAGTACCCTGTACATGTGTCTTCAGAAACCATGGAGGCATGGAGGTCCTCTTGAATCCCTACGATGCGCTAAGAGAACTGGCAAGCTCTGGTTTTTATTTGTGCACAGAACAGTGGAGAACAGTGCACAAAAATGTCAAACATATTTGTGTATGTAGGGTCTTGCCATAGAGAGTACAACCCACTAGGGATATACTCTTGTACTCTCATTCTAGTCATTTGTTCTAACTCTGAGATGGTATCGTGAGTAGGTTAGGTACTACCCTCCCACCCACGCTTCCTCCTTAGGTCCTAGCCTTCCCCGTCGCCTAGCTCCTAGCCGCCCCACCAGCCCCACTGCCCCGTTGCCTTGCTCGCCCCACGGCCCCGTTCCCTAGCGCCTAGCCGCCCGTGGCCCTGCAGCCCCGTCACCTAGTGCCTAGCCCCCGCGGCCCCGCTCCCCTAGCTCCTAGCCGTCCATGGCCCCGTCAGCCCCCGTCACCTAGCGCCTAGCCCCCGCGGCCCTGCTCCCCTAGCTCCTAGACGCCCATGGCCCCGTCGGCCCCCGTCACGTAGCGCCTAGCTGCCCGCGGCCCCGTTGGCCCACCACGTCACGCCTAGCCTGCCCGCTGGCCTCACGGCCCCGTCGCCTAGCGCCCAGCCGCTCCACGGCCTAGCCGCCCCGTCGCCTAGCCGCCCCGTGACCCCGTAGCCCAGCCGCCTCGCGGCCTCGTCGTCCAACCGTCCTGCACCGCGCCCCACCGTACCGCACTGCACCACACTGCACCACACTGCACCACACTGCACCGTGCCCCACCGCACTGCACCGTGCCCAACCGCACTGCACCGCGACCCATCTCATTGCACCGCACTGCACCGCGCTCCACCGCACTCTACCGTACAACACTCCTTCCCACCGTTCCTCGTCGCTCCGTCACCGTCTGTTTGCGCTTGCAGCGGCCTGCATGGTGGACTCGGTGCTGCGCTTTGACGCGGAGGGTCAGCCGATTGAGTTCGTCTCATGGCTCGTCGATCTTCGCTGTCACCTCACTGGTCAGCGGCAGGACGGCCACTCCCTGGCCGTCCACATTGACGGTACGCTCCCCTGCCCTGACCCCCCTGCTGCTCTCCCCGCTGACCCCACGTCTGCTGACTGTGAGTCCGCCGCCGCTGCTGCCCTTGCCCGTGCTGTCTGGCTGTCGCGTGACGCTGTCGCTCAGCTTGCGATTAACCATGCCCTTCCTGTCGGAGCGCCCCCATTTTAAGTCGGTCAAGACTGCGCAGGAGTTCCAAGAGGCTGTTGTCGAGCGTTATTCCACCCCGTCCTCTGCCTCTGTTGGCCGCCTAATCCTTCGCATGCTCTTCCTTGATCTCGCGTCTTTCCCCACTGTCGCTGACCTGGCCACGCATCTGCGCATGCTCGACGCGAGCTGGCGCGCTGCCTGCACTGAGGCCCAGCTTCGTGTGTTCCAGCCCCCTATCTGCTCTACCCTTTACCTGCTTGCCACCCGCCTCCCCTACCGCCTTGCCACTGCCCGCGACCACTTTCTTAGTCTGCACCCCGCTGACCTCACCCTATCTGACATTGTCGATACACTGTCTGCCATAGAGACCCGTCAGCGCTCTATCGCCCAGTCTAGCGGTATTGCGTCGGTCCCTATCTTTCAGTGTTGTGCTCCCGCCCAGTGCACGTACTCTGACGGTTCTGCGCCTGTAACTGAGACAGCCCCTGCTGCTGAGATCGCTGCCGCGGTGGCAGCAGCGCAGTCCCGTTATTGTAAGGCTCGCCGCCCCAAGGTTGGGCACGGCGGGGGTAGTGGAGGAGGGGGTGGAGGTGGTGGTGGAGGTGGTTCTTCCGCTGGTGGTAGTGCAGACGATGGGGCTGGGGCTGGTGCCTCGAAGCAGCAGCCCCAACGGGAGCATCAGCAGACGCCACAGCTTGACCAGCAGCAGCCACAGCTTGACCAGCAGCAGTAGCAGCAACTGCAGTAGCAGCAGTCGTAGCGGAGGGTCGGGCGCCTCCCGCCTAGGTGGCCTGGCGCTAGTGGATGTGGTGGTGGTGGTCGCGGTGGAGGTGCACGTGGCTCGGCGTCGGGTGGTGGTGCGAGTGACGTGCGCTTCCAGTACCTGCTCCAGACCGGTCCTCGCCGCGGCCTCGTGTGTGGTAAGATCGGTCAGACCCCCACTTGCCGTTTCAGTTGCCTGGACGACCTATTTCGTCTTCGCTTCGGCCCCGCGCTGGACCTCCCTGACTGGCACAGTCTGCTCCGCCATGGTGTTAGGATATTTGATATGGACATGGATGAGATCAGCTCTGCATTGTATGTGATGTATGTCAATGACTCTAGTGTGACTAGTTTGTATTACCCCGTGTTGCCTTGTGTAGGCCTCTCCCGTGTGCCTAGTTTAGGCTTCCCTGCTGCGTTAGGCGTAGGACCCTTTGCTTTGTTTAGCCTTGGCTCCACACTAGCTCCACTGCCCCCAGCCGCCAATGTCGCGCTCTCCTTCAGACTACACTTACGCCGCTCACCGTACCTGCTGCAGTTACCCTTGCAGACCCTTCCTCAGGTCCGGTAGTCGCCCGTAATTCCACTTCTCTCCCCTGTCCGGTAGTTCCTTTGGGCTCTCTTACCGGCCTGCACATCCCCTCGTTCTCTCGGAATCTAGTTGGTGTCGCCTGTCTTCACGCCCTCGGCGTCACCACTACGTTCCCTGGTCACGAGAGGTACGCTGTCTGTACCGAGGCTGCCACTGGTGCCCCACTCACCACGTTCCCCCGGGACCCGGTGTCTGGCCTGTTCACGCTGGACATCGCGTCCCCCCCGGTTGGGACGCCCACCCAGGTGGCCGCGTCTACCCATGTTGCTGCGGCTTGCTCGTGTCGGTCGCTTACTCACTCGTCACTTTTGTGGCACCACCGTCTCGGTCACCCCGCTCTCACCTGTCTCCGTCACATGTCTCAGCACGGTCTTGTTTTCCTGCGTCGTTCCCCGCACTCCCCTCCTCCGCATCGCCTCCGTGCACTCCCTGCGTCGAAGGCCGGCTCCGCCGTGCCCCTCACTCCTCCTCGTTCCCCCCCACCATTGCACCGTTACAGACCCTGCACATGGACGTTTAGGGCCCTGCCCCCGTCCATAGGCCACGTTGTGAGCGTTACTTCCTAGTGCTTGTCGACGACTATACTCACTACACCACGACGTGCCTGACGTTCTTATCCCGTGGCTTGTCTTTGCGCGTGTGCACCGAGGTCTCCCTGTATTGCTGCTTCACTCCGACCATGGTGGTGAGTTCGCCTCTGGCTGCCTTGGTCGCTTCTGTCGTGCGGAGGGCATCACCCGGACGTACACCCTTCCGGACTCCCCGCAACAGAATGGGGTCGCTGAGGGACGCATTGGTTTGGTCATGGAGGTGGCTCGTATCTCCATGATCCATGCCGGTGCACCCCATTTTCTGTGGCCGTTCGCCGTTCGATGCGCAGCCCACCAGCTTAACTTGTGGCCGCACTCTCAGCGGCCGCAGGTTTCACCGACCCTTCTTTGGACCGGGTTCCCTGGTGGCGCGTCCGCGTTCCACATCTAGGGCTGCCTCGCTCACGCTCTGGCATGGACAAGCTCACTGCCCGCACTGTCCCCTGTGTCTTTCTCGGTTTCCCCCTTGACTCATCTGACTGACACTTCTACAACCCGTCGTCTCACCGTTTCCTTCACTCTCGTGACGTCACCTTTGACAAGTCAGTCTCCTTCTACCACCGCTTTCCCAACCGTGGTCCCCTGGTCACTCCCCCCAAGTTCTTGGTTTCCCCCCCTCCCCCAATCGCCCCTCCCCCTGCTCCCCCCCCTCCGTGCCCTGCCCCGTCTGGTGTGTCTTACGTCACCCCCGTCCCATCAGTTGTCCCTGTCGAGAGGTCTGCTGACTCTCGCAACTCGGCGGAGTCCCTTCCCCCGCTTATCCTTGCCCCGGTCTCTCCTCCCCTGTTGCCGCCGCAGCCGCAGCCGTAGCCGCCTCCGCAGCTGCCGTCGCCGCTGTCGTCACCGCCGCTGGGGTTTGTGCATTCTGGGGGTGCTGGGGAGTGTGCCAGAGCCGGTGCTGAAGCGCGTTCCCATTCTGGGGGTGCTGGCGTGGGGCTTCCCGGTGGGAGCCACGGTCCTGCTGGAGGTTCTGGTGTTGGCGTCGGGCAGCAGTCGTCGCCGTCACCGCCGGTGTACGCACTTCGCCTCCTCGGCCTTCCTTCTCCTGACCGTCCGCCGATGCCTCCTCGGTCACCACCGCCTCCTCCTCTGCCGGTCTACGACCCTTTGTTTCCTCCAGTGGACCCTTCTCTGGTTCGTTTCCCTCCTTGTTCTCCTCCTATCTCTCCTCCCCTCTGTCCTGACCTGACTCCTCCGTCTCACGTCTGGGCTCGTCGTCCGTCTCGTGCTCGTCCTACCTCCCCTGTTCCGCATTCTCACCCTATGTTGCTTCGCTCTCACGCGTCTCGTGCTCCTCCGCTCCTCCCGTCCCCTCCTCCGTCGTCGCTCGTTGTCGCTCCGCCTCCGTTTTCTGACTTCCTCCGTGCCGCGCGTCCCCTTGTTCCTCGTGTCCTTGCCTCCCTCGTTACCGACCCGTCTGTTCCTGTCTCGCGCCTTGACGCTCTTATCGTTGCTATCGCTGACTTCTCCGCTACCCGTTGCCTTGACTACGCCACCGCACTGGTCTCTGACCCTGCCTGCCCTCCATCCGTCGGGGATGTGGCTATCCTTGGCAGTGACGTCCTAGAGGGCATACAGTACGAGCTTGCTTTCC